AACCCTTCAAAAATCTGGTTTTGACTGTCTCCAGTGTTGTGTAGCTAAAGTCAGCAGGAATGTCTCTGTCCTGATCAGGCCTCAAGCAGTCCTGGGGACTGCTTGGTCCTTGGAAACCTCTTACTTGGATTCTGGTGATGGTATTTATCTGGTTTTCTTTCTCCTCTGGAGACCCCTATCTAATGTTAGTATTCCTTAGGGTTCTGGTCCAGCCCCTCCTTTCCTCCACCATGTGGCTTCTGTTGCCCCTAGTTTTAATGACTCATAGATTTCTTTTGTCCAGATCCTCTCTTAAGCTTCAAAGTATTTCTCCAAAAGCCTTTATTTTTTTATTGATATATATTTTTTTTTCATGGTTACAGAGTTGAGTTTCCTAAAGACAGTTTCAAGTATATCGTATATTTTGACCATATTCACTCGCATACCCATATCCCCGCCCTCTGCACTAGCCTCCTTCCCAGTCTTGTTTCCGTTTTCATGTCATTATATGGGGATGATTTTTAGCTTCCTAGCTTTTTATTTTTTTAATGTGTATGAGTGTATTGCCTGCATGTGAGTGCACCCGTGTCATGCAATGTCATGGAGGTCGGAAGAGGGCTTTGGATTCCCCTGGAACTGGAGTTACAGACGGTTGTTAGCCACCATGTGGGTGCTGGGAATCCAACCCAGGTCCTCTGCAAGAGCAGTCAGTGCTCTTAACCGCTGAGCCATCTCTCCAGCCCCAGCTTCATAGCTTTTTCACACAGAAAATCATGGGATTTTTCTATGCTGGATGATGCAATCTAGCATAGACAAGCCTGTCTCAGGGAACTTGTCCTGTCCTAAGAATTGAGATTGATGTGCAGCATGTCCATAGCCGATCCTGAGGCGTAGCAGCAGTTGGGAAGGAAACTCATCTCTTGGATAGGCACTTAGGTGGATTTCTTCAGCATTTCAATGTCAGCCTCTTTGGAAATCAGCATGTCATCTAAACCTCATGTTCCTCCAACTTCTTTTATTGCAGTGAGTGGTCCTACCACCTGCATAGTATCTAGTCTAAAGGTCTTGGCCTACCCCTGTACTTCCCTCCTCCACTCACAACTACAAGTCTGGTGTCGCTGCTGCTATGGATTTCTTGAAATCACTTCCATCGCTTTCCTAGTATAGACCACATCATTTCTCATTTTTCTCCCCAATTATTATAAATGTGTTCTGTCAGGGCTGGAGAGATGGCTCAGGGGTGAAGAGCACTGGATGCTCTTGCAGAGGACCCGGGTTCAATTCCCAGCACCCACATGGCAGGTTACGAACCGTCCTTAACTGCAGTTCCAGGGGAATCCAAAGCCCTCTTCTGACCTCCGAGGCATTGCACGACATGGGTGCACTCGCATACATGCAGGCAATACACTCATACACATAAAATAAAAATTAAAAAATTTTTTAAAAATAAATATTTTGTCTTTTTGTCAGTCTTTTTGTCTCTGTTCTCCAGACTGTAACCACATTCATGTTTCCAAAATGCAGATCTGATTATGCCACACTCCAGCTGCCCCACCCCCATCAGCACTTAAAATCATGCAAAGGGCCAGGTGTGGTGGTGCACACCTTTAATCCTAGCACTCGGAAGGCAGAGGCAGGTGGATCTGTGAGAGCAAGGCCAGCCTGGTGTACATAGTGAGTTCCAGGCCAGCCGGGGCTGCAGGGAGACCTTTAAACATGCAAAAGCTCTGCATTGCTTTTAGGACAGAGTATGATTATACACTGCTCATTTTCCCGAAGCCATGCTTACCACTTAACCTAACACTATGTGCACGGTGCCTGGCATAGAATAAAGGCTCAATAAAAATTCTGAGGACTGAACCCAGGGCCTCACTCACACCAAGCAAGCTCTCTACTACTGAGCTATGTCCCCAGCCTCTTTTTACTTTTTATTTTGAGACGGGGTCTCAAGTTGCCCAGGTTGGCCCTTGAACTCACTCTACAGCCCAAGTAGGACTTGAATTTGTGGTACTCCAGCCTCAGCCTCCTGAGTAGCTAGGATTACAGGCAAACAAAATTGTTTTAAATTATGAAAAGAGAAGAAAAAAGTTAAAAAATACAGGCAGATCCATCATATCTTGTAGGTGAGAGATTTCAAAGCATATATTGCAGTGACTTCCTTTGAGCAAATGAACTAAACCTCAGCCAGCTCCTTTCTTCCTCTTATTAAGCAGTAGTAACATCTCGAATGTGTTCTGGAGTCAATCCAGTGTGAAGAATAGCCAGGTTAAAATGTGTTGAGAGGCCAGTTACCAACTTGAGCACATTCTGATGTCAGGAGTTCTAAACTTGGATCATCAAGCAGTATGACACAGTAACAAAATGCTGTCAACCTCTGAGGAAATGCTGAATGACTGAACACACCGAATCAACGAAGAGAATGCCATTCAAAGTACTGATAGTAGTGAGGGGGTGGTTCTCTGAGATCACCTACCAGAGAGTCACCAGCACTATCTACATAGTGATGCCACACCATCACACTGGTTTGTTACCAGTAGCTTACAGCTCCAAATACCCAAGAAGTCCAGCTTGTTTTATAACAAGGAAAGGAAAGGACACTTCATGATTAGTGGGGTATAAATAAGGATGGAGAACGAACTTTGGGACTTTTTTTTTTTTTTCTTGGAGGCATGGTCTCACTAGACCAGGTTGGCCTAGAACTCAGAGATCCACCTGCTTCTACCCCCTGAGTGCTGGGATTAATGGTGTGTACCACCATGCCCAGCTTGGAACTTCTAAGTTTTAATAATTTAAGTGAATAATAACAGAATCAGAATATAGTAAGCATCACCAAAGAAAGTAATCATGGAACAATAGTTGCTATACTTTTATATTTGTCTCTGAGGATGAAGATCTGTGAAGCTTAAAGACTCTGCCAAAAGCTGAATGCTTAAACTATCAAGTGTGCAAGAGCCTTTAAGGAGGGCAGGGGCTGGGGAGATGGTTCAGTGGTTAAGAGTACTTGCTGTTCTTGCAGAGGACTGGGGTTCAATTCCCAGTACCCACATGAAAGGTAACAACTGTCCATAACTCCACTTCCAGGGGATCCAACACCCTCTTCTGACATCCATGGGCACTGCATGACACAGGTGCATTTACATGCGGGCAAAACGCTATTACACGTAAAAATTAAAAAAAAAAAATTTTAAAGGAGGACAAGGACTTGCTCTGACATGTGCAAGTGTTCTGCCTATGTTTATTAAATAAGAATAAATGTGAACGAAAAGGAAAAAGTCATCCAGATGTTCTGTTTGCTTCCAAAAATTCAGTTAGTTGCAAACCCTCAAAAATAGTTAAGAAATGCCCAGCAGACTTAAGATTTTCCATCCCAAGGCATAGGAATGAAACAGCCATATTGACCTGTTAAGCCCCTGGAGGAAAGAACCATGTCTGATTTTCGTTATACTCTCAGGACTAGCCCATTAATCCCTATTCAATAAATATTGGCTGGCTGCACTAAGAATCAGTCACTGTAGTGTTCCAAAGATGCCACAATTAGCAACAAGAGATAAAATGAAAAGGGAATGGGGGCTATGAATTGGCTCGGTGGTAGAATGCTTGCTTAGCATGTGTAAGGCCCTGGGCATGGTAGCACACCTATAATCCCAGCACTCAGGAAGCTGAGACAGGATAAACAGATTGAAGCCAGCATGAGCTACACAGTGAGACCCTATTTTCCAAGAAAAAAAAAAAAAAGCAAAATGATTCCTTTATCACCTACTTTGTCAAATACACGTCCTCATTCCAATCTCCATTCAGAACTTCCTACCAAGGTGATTTGCTCACCATCCCAGAATGCAGGTAGTTTGCTCTTGTCTACCACTCTCTTGTCCTTATGCCTGCCTGGATCCTACACAAGCTGTCTTTCGAATCTCATTTTAAATAAGGTGCCTCCTACAGAGTGGAGGAACTCTTAATTAATCCTGGCCAATTTGAATACCCTATGTTCCCTCAGTCTTCATGTTTCTTTACTGAACTAATTATGTTTTAAGTCTCACCCTGTATACCTACAACAGAAGCAGTTTTAATAAGATAGACATTATGTCCAGGGATACCTTTGTATTTCTCCGTGGAACCCAATTCAGAACCCACACATCCAGGCCAGGTAGTGTAATGCAAATTGTATTATAAGGTAGTCACACAAGGGCAAATAGATAGTTAAGGACCTAAGAGGAGGCAGGAGGACTGCCTTAAGTTCAAGGTCAACCTAAGTCTACGTAATGAATTCTAGGCTAGCCAGGGTTACATAATGAGACATTGTTTCAACAAAACAGTAACAACAATTAGATCAACCGGACTTGTACTGCGCTTTTAGGTTGCAAAGGCCTGCATGAGCTGATTAGCTTTCTCTTTACAACAGAGGTTGGAATTGTGCTTCCCTCTTCCATGGGGGAGAAGGAAGTGGCTAAAGCCGAGGAAATGCCCTTTTTCTGCACTACCATCGCTGCTTTTCTACAAATGGTGCCTGTTCCTAGCTTCCAGTTTCCAGATTACTGAGAAGACCTGCGAAGGTCTTGGAGAAGGAAGAGGCGGGTGCGTTTAAGGCCAAGGAGACGGTCATGTCTCTTCCCAAGGATTTACACCCAACACGTATGCAGGAAGGCAAATCACAAACACGCTCACAACCACACATACACGTGCACGCCCAGCCCCACGGAAGCAGACGCGCATGCCCGTGGGCCCGCGCGTAGCTACTTAGTTTTCTGTTCTCAAAGCCACCATTGCACCCCACTCGGCCCAACCCGGCGTCCCTGACTCCAGCCCAGGGAAGGTTCACCAGGCCACCCGGGGCCTGAGGAAGAGCGTGTCTCCATAAGGGGGAGGGGAGGTCCTTCCCACTCCGGCGGAAGCGGCGCGCGCCTGCGGGGCAGACTTCGCTCTCTTCCTGGGAACATCTGGACCGAGCTGGGAGGGGCGCGAGCCCAGGCTGAGCTCGGATTGGCTGTGCGGGAGGAGGGAGGCGGGGTCTGAGCGAGGGGCGGGGCTCAACGGCCCCTTTAAAGCCTTGACATCGAGAGGCGGCTCCGGTACCCCCCTTTTTCCGCCCCCGGCTCCCGAGCCGCGGCCATGGACCCGGTGGACCAGGCCTGCCCAGCTCAGCACCTGGTTTGGGTGAGTCCTGGCTGGGGACTGGGAGGGCTGTGCGGCGGGGGGCCGTACGCCCCGGGCGGGGGCCGGGAGCGTGCTTGTGGTAGCCTGGGCTTGTAGGGGGCGGCGAGGCTTCCGGCGCACACCTCGCCGCCCATGGGTCCCTCGCCGCCGCACTGTGCCAGGAGGGTCCAGCTGTGACTTTGTCCACCCCCGCCCTACCCCCTCCCGCCCCCTGCGCCATCCTCGCGCACACTCGATGGCCCCGGAAGGGAAACTTTCGGGAGTGGGGGATGTTCCGGTGGCCGGTCTCCCTCCTCCTTTGAAAGCACTGACCTTGCCCTAGCTGGGCATCCCACCCCACCCGTATCCCACGGTCCGGGTACCGCCTAGCGGTGCTGGGTTGGGGTAGGCGCTGTCCTCAAAGCGCAAGCGCCAGACCGGAGCCTGGGGCTCCTCTTCGCACTCCCTCCAGTCCCTGTGGCCCGGGGCGGTAGGGCGTGGGGGAGGCGGAGAGAGGCGGAGAGACTCGGGTCTCGGGAACTGCCCGGTGAGGGGCTGTGGGAAGGAGGGAACCCGACGAGCTGCGGGCAGAATTGGGGCTGAAGGAGGGAGAAGGGGGAGTAGGAACTAGGCAGCCGGGCAGAAAAGGCCCTCTGGGTCTTGATTGGGATGCTAAAAGAATGCAGAGTATGTGTCTTGTGCCCGGCATTCCCTTGGTTTAGCCGGCCCAGGAAAGCGGTTTTGGGGATCTCGACTCCCTCCTTTCATCCTGAGCGCAAGGCCCCTCTGTATCCCCAGCCCCGGCCCTGTCCCAAGGACACAGAAGGCCCGAATCAGCCAAACCCACCTAGCCTGCCCAGCAGCTGTTTTTTAAAGACCTGCCTTCTGCGGCTGAGGGCTTCCCTGGCTATAGATACAATCTCGTATTTCCCTTCCTACCAACCTCCCCTTCTCCCATGGGTCTTGCTGCTTAGGCACAATTGTCAGCCAGAGGAAGTGGTTGGAGGCAGAGGTCCTAGGACAGGACTGGTCTTGGGGACTACAGAGAAGGACTCAGTGTCCAACTGTTGTGTGCTCAGGCCTCTGGGAGAAAATGACCTTAGCTCAACTGCCTTGTCGCAGACCCTCTTAGCTTACAGACATGCTAGCTGGCTTTCTGAGAACCCCTCATCTGTCTGAAAGTCCTACTCTAAAGTTTCCCCCTCTCCCCAACAGAGTGAGATTAGTGGGGTTCCCAGAGAAACCGCCTATATTTTTGTCTGAAGAGGTATTCCCACATAGCTGGGGTTTTTTTGTTTGTTTCTTTTCTCAAAGTGTGTGATCTGGGCCTAAGGTGACTTTGGTCCTCTAGCACCCTTCGCCAGCTCAGGCCTTTGGGAGCGAGTGAGAGCCTAGACAGGGATGTCCTGGGCTGCAGAGAAAGGTCCTCTGGCAGGGTGACTCTATTTAGAAAGCTAAAAAGTTTGGTCACACTTTGTAAGGATTAGAACTTTGGATAGAGAGAAGTAGAACTTTCTTCTGCCTAAGAATAGTCATGGTTCTCCTCGCCCTGGGGCCTTGGGATATGAACTCCTGCTGGCTTGGGTTTGGCCCACCCATCAAGGTGAGACATCCTGGCTGGGCCAGTCTTTGAGTTGGATCTTTGGGGAGGGGTTGAGAGAGGAGGAGGTAGCCAAGGGCCAGCAGGGTAAGCAGATTCCCAGGAGACAGCTTGCATCTCAGCTGTTGGGACTTGTTTTAGGATCTGAGCCAGGGAGCCCAACACATCATCCACCTTCTTGTGGGAAGAAGGCAAGGAGGGCCCCACTGCTGTTGCCCATCCTACCCCCGGCCTTACACACCGCACCTCTGTACTCGCCCCAGCTCCCAAGCAACAGGCTAAGTAAGAAGAAACTGCCTCTACCCAACCTTTCCCAGCCCCCATACCTCCCCGGGGTAGGGCTTTCTCAGGACTTCAGTGTTCCAGGTTAGGACTTGCTCTCCAGCCCAAGAGCCAGAAGACTTCACATTCTGGTTTGTTTTCATCTTTGGTCTCCCAGGTGAAGGAATGTTGAAGGAGAGGTGGTAGTTGAAGAGGTCTGGGATGTGAGGCACATTCTCCTGCATTGCTTTTTCCCTCTGCTAACTCTTCTAGGCCTGGGGAGCCCTCTGTCCTCAGCCTATTTGAGTGACACTACAGCTGGAGGCATCTAGATTAAACCCCAAGAAACCTTCCTCACTGCTGTGAAGCAGTAGAAATGGATAATGGAAGCTCCCAGGGAGGTCAGTTTCCCAGAAAACCAGTGGAGTCCCTGTCAGATTGAAGGATGCAGCTGTTGCTAGGCAGATGTTGCAGTTCTTTCTATCTTGAGGTATGGCTCTGAGGCTGGCCAGCCAGAAGCGTTGTTAGAAGCAAGAGGAGAAAGGACAGCCTAAGTGAGGGTCCTAGCATTGCGGCCCAGCTTCACCAGAGCAGCATCTCTCAGAACAGGGACCCTTTCTCACTCCTCCTGCCCCCAGACCCTCCCCCAAATCCTGGTTGCTACCCTGTCTGTTTCGACAACCCATGCCTGAACCTGGCAGTCTCCTCCAGCCAGTCTGGCTGCACTAATGGACTGATTTAATTTTCTATACTTGGAGTTTGGGGTTTCTGATTGAACATGCAAATTTATGTAAATCAATCCGAGATCTGCCACCACATCAAAACAATGTAGAGCTTCCACAGACTGGAAGGAATCCTGGAGGTAATCTAGTCCAAGGCCCGCCCTTAAGTTAAACATGGGAAAACTGACAGTCAGGGGGAAGTGATTCATGTGGTGGTATCAGAGTCCCTGACTCTGGTCACTAGTTTTACATGATGTTTTTGCCTTAGTTTCTTATTCATGAGGGAGCTGATTGTTTTTTAATCTAGATTGCAGAGAGCAGGGCCCTTAGAGTGTTAACCGGGGACCCCATAAGCTTTTTAACCTGCTGAAGAAAAACTTCAAATTCCTTAGAATAAAACCCCTATGCCTAGATGCTGCTGAAGGGCCAGGAGACCAGGCCATTGATTGCTTCCTGGCTTAGAGCTTCTGGTTTTCTGGGAGCAGAGGTTTTGTTTGTTCCCAGCATCTGCACAGTAGTAGGTCCACCATAGCCTGTGATGCAAGACACAATGCGCTCATTAATTTCCACTCTACTGTGAGTTTTAGCTTCTTCTCTCCTTGGCTACATTGGGAAAAAAAAGATCTTTGATCCTCTGTGAGTTTTTGCCTGCCCTCTTGAATAATGTAGACAAGCTGGGCATCTGCAGCTTTCCACAGCAGTGACCAGACAGACCTTGCTGTGTGAAGGATCTCATTATTGACCATTGCCAAGGGTAGATGGGAGCTACACTGATAAGCTTGAGTCCCAAGAAGTCTTTTTTCAGTGACTTTTGTTTTCCTGTGCTAGGGATTGAACTTGGGACCTTACATATGCTAGGTACTGAGCTACAGTCTCTAGCCTTCCCACTTCTTGGCATGTTCTTCCATAGATCCCCATACCCAGCTCAGGTGCCCCACCCCCTGACACCTCATTGGCTCTTCATGTACGATGCCCATGAGGAGGAACTCTCTGGAAGGCCGAGCCCTCAATTACCCTGTGTGCCTGAGAGCAACAGTAGAGATGGCAGAGATGTTCAGGCAGCCGTTTGGTGTACTCTAGGAGAGTAGTGCAGGGGCTCTAGGACAAAGACTCTAATTCCCAGCCAGGGCCCTGCTGCAGCCTGGGGAGAGAACTTGGGACACATACCTGGAGTCTTCCTACATCTTCTTTCCAGCCCCACCTCTGGAGTGAACGGCCCTGCCTTCGATATCTTCCCCAAACACTTAGGGAGTGGAACAGGCACCTCAGTTCCCCACCGCCCAGCAGCTCTCAGCATGTAGAAAGCTTAGCTCCACTGGAGGCAAGACCAGGGTCTTGGGCCTCAGTTTCCCAGTCAGTGGTCACGGATTAATAACACATCATCATTGGGGCGTGGCACCTGTTTCATAATTATCATTTTCTCAGCTCTGGGAGTTACACAGATGAAAGAAGTCTGAGGAGGCCAGGCTGTTATTAAGGTGAATTATCATTATTGTTATTACTGATTTCCAAAAACCCAGTAGGTGCTGAGAAGAACCCAATTAGGCACAGCACCCTGAACCTTATGCTGCTCCTTGAACTCTGGAAGTTTGGCAGTACTCACTATGCTTTTTATTTAAAAAAGAAAAGTTACAGGACTAGGGGGTGTAACTCAGTAGTAGAGAGCTTGAAAAGCCCTGGGTTCCATCTCCAACACTGTTGTAAAAAAAATTATAACTTTTTTAAAAGGAAGGAAGAACCCAGGCTGTCGCCTACAGGGCCTAAGCAGTCCGTGTTCCGTTCTGCAGTTCTCCTCTCTCTCAGCCTGAATTTGATTCTGATCTGCAGGGAAGAAGATTTGTAACTTTTTTTAAAGACAAGAGTAGTGAGGGACCCTGGGATTCTTAAGGGCTAAATTCCAAAAGGTTGATACACTTTGTACCAGCTGGGTTGGTGTGGGGGGTTGTAATTGTTCCTATCTTATCCCCACCTGACTCAGAGTCTCCCTTTGGCCAGCCTCCTGCCTCTTAGCTCCCAAGTCTCCTGCCACTGCCTTGACTAGACTTTGCCCCTTCCCAAGGGTCTAGATGGAATACAGCTCTTACGTAGATAGAAGTAGCTCTACCAGTTTCTGAGTTGTGGTGCTGCTGTGCACATACCACAGACTGGGGTACAGGGCTTCTTTCTTACCCTGGGAAAGAAAGGGAGTGAAGGCATTGGTGTTCCATAGTCAAAGTCGTCACCCACATCTGGCCAGACCTGCTGCCTTGCCCCAGGGGGAGTGTCACTACCTATTTGTACAGGAAAAAGATAAATGGCTATAGCTGGGAGAGCCTTTTAATTGATTAACTCACTAATTTATTTTTATTTTATGTGCATAAATGTTGCCTGCATGTAAGTTCACTCATGCATGCAGTGCCCCTGGAGGCCAGAAGAGGGCATCAGAGCCTCTGAACTGG